AGGTAGGGGGAGGTGAGGAGAGCACAGCTGGTGGAGGAGGGGAGGTAGAGGGAGGTGAGGAGAGCAGGCTGTCCCAGGGCAGCTGGTGGAGGAGGGGAGGTAGAGGGAGGTGAGGAGAGCAGGCTGTCCCAGGGCAGCTGGTGGAGGAGGGGAGGTAGGGGAAGGTGAGGAGAGCTGGCTGTGGCTCCACCTTGTAGGAAGCCGTGCGAGCTTGACCCCCAAGGTGTGGGACAGGTGGAGGAGTAGACCCAGAGGCAAGCCTGGGAGGAGCCAAAGATAGCTCTGGTTTTGGGGTGCCCGTGAGGGGAACAACAAGGGAAAGGTGCCGCAGTGCAACAGGAGACGCCCCAGCTGTGTGCACCCAACCCCCACCTGCTGTCAGCACTGCGCCATGTTGCACCCTGGGCCCAGCGACCCTCCTTGTGGGCAAACGCCGTCCTGACACTGGCCACCTGGACCCTTCTCAGGTCTGAAGCCAATAACCCTGTCTGCGTGCCGCCCCTCGTGCTGTTCTGCGCTCGGCACTGCGGCTTCCAGCTGGTGGACTTGTGACCACCCTGTTTCAAACAGGGGACTGGAAACCAGGACTGAGTGTCCGTGGCCAGGGTGGACAGCATCACTCACCAGCTGACACCCTGCCTGGCCTTCCCCGACCTAATGGCCCTCTTCCTCCGCCACGCAGAACGTCTACGTGAACATCAACCGCATCATGTCGGTAGCGAACCGCCTGGTGGAGTCGGGCCACTACGCCTCGCAGCAGATCAAGCAGATCGCAAACCAGCTGGAGCAGGAATGGAAGGCATTCGCGGCCGCCCTGGACGAGCGTAGCACCCTGCTGGACATGTCCTCCATCTTCCACCAGAAGGCCGAGAAGGTCAGTGCCCTCTCTCCCACCCCCCGACCCTGGGGCCCACCCCCGAGGGCCGTGGTGTGGAGCAGACCGAGCTCTCCGGCTCCTGACTTCTCTGCCTGGGAAAGTACTTACTGGAAGAGGCTCTTCTGGGAACCAGATGGTTGCTGTCATTTGTGCTGCATGATGCCTGGTGGTACCAGAGGGCTTCAAAAAGCTGGTGGAGGAATTGCCTTATCTTCCCCTTCAATTTCCTGTGCGCGCATGTGAGCCCACTCCCCCACAACCGTACGTAATTTTTCTTCCTAACTGGGAACTCAGTGCGGGCCATCTCCCAAGCTGCACATGGGAGTCCTTACAACCAAGAAAGCAGCTTCATTTAAGGACTCCACTAAGCACAGGGTCAGGAGCCCTGGTGACTTAGGGATTACACGTTGGACTGCTAAAACACCAGGTCAGCAGTTCAAAATCCATCAGCCGCTCCCCGGGAAGCAGATGAGGTTTTGTATTCAGTGACGAGTTCACCTCGGGAACCCACAAAGGCAGCTCTCCCCTGTCCTACAGGGTCTCCATGCGCGGGTCTGCTCGCTGTCAGCTTAAGTGTTCAGTTGAACCCCACAGTCGCATATGTGTGCACAAGACCTCTTTAAAGTCTGAAAGAAGGAAGATAACCGCTGTGAGGACGAACGTGGGCCTGACCTAAGCTGTAGTGCTTTGAGAAAACCGGACAGCGAGTAAGGAAGACCTGAGAAGAGTTGAGGTCTCCGAATTACGGTTTCCGCGAAACATGTTCCAGTCCTGTGGGTGGCCCAAAGCACGATCAAACCTGACCTGGAAGCGACCACCCGACCACCCCATGCTTTGGACAGGGTATCGGGGCCTGAGCCCAAATGCTCATTAGCAGTGGGGTGTCTGTTGTTGGCGTCCTTCCAGGGACTCCTACGTACACATCCGATGTGTGCGCATGTGGCCCTGTGCAGGGCCTTACACAGTTGCCTGGGGAATTCTACTATCTCTTCGTTGTATTTTCCTGCAAACTTGTTGATGCCCCTAGGTGTGTATA